TCGCTACAAGTAGCTAAGTGCATTACTACTAGTAACAAGAAGCTACTTGTGAATTTGTAAGCAATAGAAGTGATTTGATGCCATGACATGACGGCTGCGCTTTCCAGTTCGCACTCGCCGCTCCTTTACAGAGCTCTTGAGCCACCACAGGTGGTTATTCGTTCATGACCAGCAGAGAAAAGGCCCCCCTTGGTTTGCAGACGGAAACCTCGAGCGTTCCGCATCGACGGTGAACTTGGTTTTCCTCTTTTCTTGTTCTCCGTGTTTTCACATTGGTAGCGGAGCTGCCAAAGAGCAGCTCCGGATCCGCTTGGCGCCATGTCTCGATCTCCGAAAGGGAGCTCGCAAGCCAATGGAGCTGCCGAGAAGAGCACCTTTGGAAAAGATGAACGAAGCTATATCCCGCGGTTCGACAACACGATGACCGGCTACAGAGAGTGGCGCAAAAGGATCCTGCTGTTCGCCCGCCGCCAGGCGATTCAAGGAAGAGCAAACGAGACAGGATTAGCTGTCCTGTCGGTTCTGGAAGGCGCAAGCTGGCGCCAGTGCAAAGACCTGGACTTAGATGTCCTAGAGAAGGACGATGGCCTCAAAAGCATTTTGCAGAGGCTGGACTCCCAATGGCAGTATGATGATCGTGTGGAGATGCCCGACGCCTTCGAAAAGTACTTCTACAGAACACAACGGAAAGTTGGGCAGTCGCTCCTTGAGTTTTGCACCGAGCACCAGCAGTCCCTACGAGAACTTCAAAAATGCAAGATTGCTCTCCCTGACCAGGTCGCTGGTTGGCTGTTGTTGAGAAAAGCTGGCTTGAGCAAGGATCAACAACAAATGATCTACGCACAGACTGGCACCGACATGTCCCTCAACAACATCGAAAAGTCCATGTACATGATCCTCGGACAAGACTACAAGCATGTCCACCAGCCTGCAGTCCGACGAGCTCAAAAACCAAGGCTTCCAAGGACTATGGAAATGACCATGAGCCCGATGACGATGTCTTCTATGAAGCTGATGAATGGTATGACCAGGAGTACGAATACGTTGATGACATTTGATGACCATGAAGACTTGGCATACCTTCACCACACCGATGAGGACACGATCTTCGATACCGAAGAGTATGACATGGCAATGGCAGCCTACACGGATGCCAAGCAGCGGGTGCTCGACCTCAAGCGCTCGCGGGGGTTCTATCCAGCGGTTGCGATGGTTGACAAGAACCAGCTCCCCATCATGGCCAACGCCAACAGTGGTTCAGGTGGCCAAAGTCCTAAGGGACGTGGGAAAAAGGGGAAATCAAAGTCAAAATCACCACAGGGAAAAGGACCTCAAGGAAAAGCTCGTGCGCGTGATGCTATGGTCTGCCACCGCTGTGGCAAACCTGGACACTTTGCCTCACAATGCAAAGCATCAAGCTCGAGCACGGCATCGACCTCAGCGAAGAAAAGAACTCTGGAGGAATCAGATCCTCTCCTCACTGGCATGGTTCTTTTTGAGAATGACCTGGCCCAACCGAATGACCAGGTTCCACAGATTGTCATGGCCTGTGAGAATGTCAACCCTCATGAGAATGTCATGACCCTTGAGAATGACACTGTCCCAGTCGAGTTCTATGACTGTGAAGAGTTCTTTGAGTGTGAGGACGCCTACAACAGTTCAGATGTCCTCGTGGCGGTTGGTCCCTCCGGAAACGGCAATTCAGGATCAAGGAGCAAGCAGTTTCCTGATCGGCACGGGGTACATCCTTCGCTATATGGCATGGCTTTAGCTCCTGGGCTTTGACCTCTCGAAGCTCGAGTTCAAGAAATGCAGCAAGCATTTCAGGTTTGGCGGAGACGCCAACGGCCATGCAAGATGGCTTCTGTCCGTGCCCGCCTACATAAATGAGAAGGCCGGCTTCATCCAGGCCTGCATCATCTTTGGGGCCACGCCTCCCCTCTTGGGAGGCCAGTGATGGAAAGGCTCCAAGGAAGTGATTGGCTGCCCATCGAGAAAGGGCGCCAAAACACCATGCTCATGAGGCTAGCTCGAAAAGAGGCTGACCCAATGCAGTTCAACAACTACCAGTTCGACCTTCGAACGGAAGATGATCACCATGAGACCCTTCGTATCAACGACTTCATTGAGGACATGAAGGCACAGCAACGCTTCAACGACATCAAAATGAACCTAGAAAAGGCCTTCAAGCCTCTGAAAAAGAAAAGAAGCAAGAATCACTTCGTGGTTTCTGGAACATGGTGCTTGAACAGATCTGCAAAGAAGAAAAACAGCTACAGCATGAAGTCCTCCATGCCTGTGATCATCAACCCGAACGGCAACCAGTGGTTTGGGAAGTCTATGTTGGGCGTGGCAATGTTTCCAGAGAATGTCAACGACTTGGTGCAAAGGTCCGCCGCTTTGGACTTGAAGATTGGTGGAACTTCAACGCAGCTGACCGCCGAGCCTTCTTGCAGCTCGCTGATGAGGAAGAACCTGATGAAATGTGGCTGAGTCCGAAATGCAAGTTATGGAGCACCATGCAGAACATCAATGTCAAGACTGAAGATGATCGCCTCCATCTCCAGGCTCGCCGACAAGAAGACCATGAGAAACATCTCAAGTTCTGCCGCCGTGCGTATCTTGGTCAATCTACGCCGAGGCTCACACGCTCACATCGAGCATCCAGCTCATGCACTGTCGTGGAAAACTCCAGCTTTCGCCAACCTCCCTGGCTACAAGGTCATTTTCGATCAATGTGAGTATGGCGCTACCACACTGAATGACAACCATGAAGAGATGCCCATCAAGAAGCCAACGGCTCTCCAGACAACAAAACTAGCAATGGTCCGCAGAATGTCCAAGAGATGCAGTGGTGACCACATGCACCAGACTTTGGAGGGCGGCAACAGATGCCACAAGGCTGAGGACTACCCCATCAAGATGGCACAACATATAGCACATGCCCTCGTGCAGCCTGAAGGGCTTGAAGAACAAACCTTTGCTGCAGGAGATGGCGATGAACAAGAGTTGACTGGAGTCCTCCGGAAGCTCGCCACCACCCATGGGTCAGAAGCAACAAGGCTGGCCCATCGACTTCATCGCAATCTCGGGCATCCACGAAAAGACCTGTTAGTTTCTC